GGCCAGCCGTGGCGACGAGAAGCCGCCCAGAGGCCCAGAGAATCTGCGAGAAACGCCCACACGACCTCGAACCTCGAGCCTCGACCTTGAAACCTGGGTCCTCGTCCTCCTCCTCCTAACGCGGCAAGGCGGTCTGTCGGCATCTAGCCGCCGGCCACCATCTGAACGCAGCCACCTCCACCTTCCTCCTCTTCCTCCTCCTTTCAACGTTGGGCAGACTGTAAGTGCTATGCTTATAGCGTCCTGGCTGGAAAAAAAGGTGCAGCGATCCGACGTAGAACAGGCGGCAACAAATGAAGGCTGCAGGTCAGTGCGGAAATCCGTGCGGCAAACAGAGTTGGTAAAAAAAGGTGCCCGTGATAATTGAGAGAACAGTCAGTGAAGGGAAGGGATGTACCAATGCAGTCATAACCAGGTTCTTCATCCTCCTCCTCCTCCTCCGTCTCCGCGTCTTCGCTATGTAAGCCCTGCTTCGTCAAGGCGGCACAGAATGTGAGGCGGGGCGCCCTGTCGCGCCACTGGCCACTGGCAGGAATGCCACCCTCCTGCCCGTGTGCGGAGCGTGGGGCTTAAGGGTGCCCCGCCTACTTTCGGCGGCGAGCGCGGGGGGGAAGTGAGAAGGAGAAGGCCCTCTCAGAAGGCGGGAGGGCTTCTCAGAAGCCCTCCAGCCTTCTGAGAAGCGTTCCGTACCTTCTGGGAAGGAAGAAGGCCGGAGGCCTTCCGAGCCTTCTGAGAAGGCTCGCCCCCTCTCACTTCCCCCCCGGGCTCGCCGCCGACACTTGGCTGTCTTCACGGTTGGCGCTGGAAAGACAGCGTGCAACACCCACCTCCGAAAAGCACGCTGTCCCTGTGAGGCAGTCCCCCCGCGAGGGCGCCCTCTGTGCACGCTGTTCCCCTGCCAGGGCTTCTTGGGTACACGTTTTCCCCAAGGAAGAAAAATGGCGCGTAGCAAGCGAGCCAACGGCGTCACATCGCACGCCATCCTTCCAACGCCATCCGTGTGTCCAGACGTTCCTCCTGCCCGTCCCCGCTTTGCTGCCGCCCCGCCCGAGGCCCGTTTGGGGACGCGCTGACCTGGGCTGGCCAACCCCAACAGTCCGCATCGCGAACCCCCGCTGGCCGCACGGTAGCTCCCGACCCCGGGTCGGCCGAGGGGGATCGAGGGGGGGTCCCCGAGGGGGCGTCCACGAGGGGGCGCGAAGCCTGGGGCATGTGCGCGGACCACGAGCAAGGGCGACGCATGCGCGAAAGGAAGAAGAGGGATCAATGAAAACAGGGAGATATTGTGACTCCCGGCCATGATGTCCGCGCACGCACCCACACACCTACTCCACCCACAATCACATACATACATACACATATCTTGGACGGCACCGACTGGATCCACGTGGCTCCCAAAACCGGATCAGCCAGAGGGTATGGGGAGACCCTGGTCAGCGCTGACCTCGTTACAGCCATCGCATAGGAAGGCACCAACTATACCCCAACACCAATCCTTGCCAGGATCACCCTGGGCCCGGGATCTATGTATACGCCCTCCTGCCTTGGGCAGAATGCATATACACCGATCCTGGGCCTAGGATCGGCCTGGCCAGGATCGGTGTAGGTGTATAGTTGGTGCCCTCCGATCGCACTACCAGAAGGAGCGCCGACTAAAGAGTGGAAGGGCGTTTCTGGCCACGGCGGGCCTCGGTCACCAGTGGGTCCCGGACCCAGCTCTGAAGGACGCAATGATAAACGTGGCCCCTCCTGAGCCCAAGGTGGTCCCCAGTTTCACGTACGTAGTCTCAGTCAGGGGGGTAGTGTGACCGCATCCGTTCCCAAAAGTTTGCCCGAAAGTGCCGAAACTTGCGATTCACATCTTCCAGCTGCACCCGAGTGTGGGGGGTGCGTTCAGCGGTGGCGACGAGGGCCTGCCAGTAGGCCAAAAAAAAACGAAAACGAAGGAAGGGTAGCGGTATCGGAAACGTTTCCTCCTCTGACGCGCTGAAAGCCCCTCCCTGGCGCGCGGAGCGCGCTAGGGTTGGCGCCAGATGGGCCACTAGGCGGCCCCAGCGGCGATCCAAGAAATCCGCGAGGAACTCCGAAAACTTAAGCCTACGCAGATTTTTGTTCTTCGATGGCGCCACGATTATCTCAGCGTCTCGTTGGCGGCGGGCACAAGGGGGTGGACGGAGGAGGGAAGGCTTATTCGAAGGAGCCTGCTTCTCAGAAGGCGCCGGCCCTACATCTAAGGCCTGCGCCTTCCAACAAGCAGGAGTGCTTCTGAGAAGCCCTCCCCCCTCCCCGCATGTGCTGCACGCTAACTCTCGTGCGAATAATGTGCGTACAACGGGCTGGCCTTCGCGAGTGTAGGTCGGCAGCGTCGTCGCATTATCCTGCCAATGCTTGTACCTGGGATATGTGAGCGAGTCGTGCTCTTTTCGATTCCCTGCCGATACGCCGTCGTCTGGCGCCTGAATAGACTCGGCTACACGTGCGCCCAGAACCCGCCGGGTTCCTGCTGCTCCGGGTTCGCGCCCCGGTCCAGCGCGGCCTCCACGGCGCGCCGGTCACCACGCTCGACTGCCCCTGGGGTACGGCTCTCTGGCCTGCTCGTGCTCTTCTAGCCTGCACACGCTGTTCCCCCCCACGGAGGAGGCCTCCTTCTGCCTCCACCTCCTCCTCCTCCACCTCCTTTTTCTCCTCCTCCTCCTCCTCCTACTCCTCCTCCTCCTCCCCCTCCTCCTCATCATCGCTCCTGCTCCTCCTCGCGTTCTTCCGAGGTCGCCTCCGCCTCTTGCAACTCCTCCTCGCAACTGCCCCCCTGGAAAGGTGCAGGAGGGAGGAGATTCGAGGGGGAGAAAAAGGAGGAGGACGGAGGGGGGAATGGAGGAGAGAGGAGGAAGGAGAGGAGGGAAGGACGGAGGAGGGAGGATCGGATCGACTCGGCGGGAGGAAGCATCAAGCCCCGCAGCGCCGTCTCGGCACCCGCCCTTTCGGGGAGGCCACAAGTGTGGGAGCTCCAAATTCAAAAACAATGGCAATATTTGAATCCCGCCCTGCCCGGGCGGACGAAAACTGCAAACGCCCCAACCATCCACCATGGCCAGGGGGCTCACGTTTTGAGCCATGCCTACAAGCGCGAAGCATTCCCGTCCAGACCGCCCTCATCTTCCACGTATATGCCCACCTCTGTCTTCCAGCCAGTGGGCAATCTCAGCATTCGTGGTTGCAACAGGTGCCGAGGGACAGATCGGTGGTGAGTCGAGGACCCTCGATCAGAAACCTGTCGTCAGCAAAGCATCAGCGGATGCTACATTTGCTTCGCGAGCGCAGTCAGCGCCATGCATGAGGGTGTCGAGGCAGAGTTCGTGGGAGGGCCCTCGAACAGAGTCCCTCCACACCAGCTGGCTGACATATACTCAGTTTGTTTGATACCACAGGTTGCTGAAGAGATGTGCTAATTATGTTGCACGCTCGCCACTTCAAACATAACATTATCGGACTGCCGTCTTCCTGGAACAAAGATGCTCGAAACGAATAAGACTGTGAATCTATCGGCTAAGTCGGCTGGTCGGCGTGTTGGGACCCCATGAACATGGCTCGCCCGATCCCGGGACTTTTCCCCTCCGAGGAAGTCGGAATTCCCTGTGCTATCGTGGCCCCGTCGCCCCTCCCACGCCCCGCCCTCCGTGACTGTGCTATGACCCCTCCCCTCCGCCCCATCATTTCGCCGCTGGAGACATCAGCACAACTGCGGCGCCGCCGCTCGAGACGTCCTTACAACCGCGAGGGCGAAACGGGTCGGGGCACATAGCACAGTTCTGGAGCGCTGCGCCCCAGACCCCCTTTTCGCGCGAGGGTCGACCCCCGCCTCCTCTTCGGCCTCCACCGCCTCCTCCTCCTCCTCCTGCTCCTCCTGCTGCGACTCCTCCTCCTCCTCCTCCTCCTGCTCCTCCTGATCCTGCTCCGCCCAAGTCACACAGAGAGGGAAACTGGCCGGACCACCTCGGGTCAGGGCATATAGGAAGCCAGAGTTGCTAGCATATCTCAGGCGAAATATATATGCGTATGTATATGTATATGTAGATGTACATGTGAATGTAAATCTATGTGTAAAAGTATATGTTTATGTATATGTACATGTATACGTATATGTAAATGTATATGCATAATATATGTATGTGTGCATGTAGGTGTAAGAGTATGTGTATGTGTATGTGTATATGTATATGTATGTGTACATGTGTATATATATATATGTAAATGTATATGTATATGTATATGTATATGTATATGTACATGTATATGTATGTGTATGTGTATACTATATGTATATGTATATGTATATGTATGTGTATATGTATATGTATATGCATATGTACGTATATGTATATTATTATGGAAATGGATATGTATATGGTTGTGTATGTGCATATGTGTATGTGTGTACATATGTGTATGTGTATGTATATGTATGTATATGTATATTTGTATGTGTATATGTATATGTATATGTATATGTATGTGTGTGTGGGCACACATATATGATATGGGCGCGGACAAAGTGTGAATATAGAACTCAAGAACACCTTCATCAATATACGTAGCTTGAAACGAAACCACCCTGCATTGGTGCGCATGTTACACAAGTTTACGCTCGGGTTCATGAAGTTCGACAGCGTGTCAATCGAGAGCAACACTCTGGCAAGAAGCCGCCCTCCTCCAGCGCAACTGCTATACAAGTTTACGTGCCAGGTGGTCGCCCTTGTCAAGGAACTCTGAGGCGAGAACCCCCTCACACTCCCCCTCGTTTTTCTCTCGACTCGCGGATCGCGACGCTATGCGCGCGTTCCGCTGCCTGGGGCGGGTCCTGCCAGACCCCTCACGGTCCCCTTGTTATTCTCCCCAAATAACGGATCGCGACGCTACGCGTGCTTTCCGTCACCTAGGGCCGCCGAGGCCAATCCCCTCACGTCGCCCCTTTGTCAAATTATCCCAACCAACGGATCGCGACGCTACGCGCGTGCTCTGTCAACCGCCACCCCTTGTGGTCTTATCACCAGGGGCGCACGGCGTGCCGAACGCCTGGCAAGATGTTAGACCCTGTCTAACAAACTCCCACTGGGGCTTCGGGACAACCCGCCGGCCACCCGGAAAGCGCCCGAAAATCCATAACTCGCTGGCCAAATCGTCTCCAACACGGCTAGGGTGGCCTCAGATGGGATCCAATACGGTCCCAAGAAGCCTCCAAGACGGCCAGGAAGACCCCGAGAGAGCCCAAGATGGCTGAACGGTATTTCCAAGACGCCCGAAGATGCAGCCAAAACCATGTGTTCTTCACAGGTGTTTGAAATGTGTTGGCTTTGGGGCCGTTTCGGCCTTCCTAAGGCCCAAGACGGCCCAACAACCCCCCAAGATCACCCCAAGAGCGCCCAAGAGACCCCCAAAATGGCCCCATGACGGCCCAAGAGGGCCCCTAAGACGGCCCGAATAGGCCCCGAGACGGCCAAAGAGGCCTCCAAGACGCGCAAGATTGCCTTCGAAACAGCTCTGAATCATCCCAAAAGAGCCCCAAGACGGCCCAGAGAGGCCCCCAGACGGCTTCCAACGGCGTCAGGCGAGCCAGGAACGCCCTAAGACAGCCAAAGAGGCCCCCAAGAAGCCCCCAAGCGGCCCGAGGAGGCCCCAAGAGGCCTCCAAGAGGCCCCGAGGAAGCTCCCATGAAATCCGAGAATGACCCAAGTGGCTCCCAAGAAATCTCTCGTCCGCCTCCTCCACCTCCTCCTCCTCCTCCTCCTTTTCCGCCCTCTCCTCGCCCTCCTCTCCTCTTTCCCCCACGTTCCCCGAAGGGCTTCCACAACGGCTGGGGGAATACATGGTCCAATAGCTTGGCCAAACTTGGCTCAAACGTTTGGCCACCTAGGGGGCAGCGGTGATTCGCCGTAGGCGTCTTCGATAAACAGCTCTCCAGAACAATGCCGATGGGACTGCGCCTTCGTACGACAGAAACGTGTTATGACTGCAAGGCAAGCACGCCGCATTACAAAAAGGCAAAATACCTAAGCTCGATCGAAAGCGCACCATCCACGAGACAGCTACCAAGGTAACGCACGACTACGAAAAACAACACCCACGCCGCCGCTACGCGCACTCCGCTGCGCCGGACCCGAGAGTAGCCGTGGAAAGCGGAGAACCGCTGCAGCAATGGGCGGGCCACCCAAACCGCTGCCACCGAGGACGCAGGAGCAGAGACGTGCACCCTCCCGCACATGCACGCCTGCAAGATGAGGCAGCTGCGGCCCAAGACCGATGATGACCACCTCCAGACTTCCAATGCCGTCCAGTGATACAGAGCTTCTTGATGAAGGAGACTGAGACCAGCCCGCAAGCGAGCACGCGTATGGCACAGCTCCCGGGCACATGCGCAAGCGAGACGGTTTGAGCGAGCGGCCCCTGCCACGCTTGAGCAAGTAGCGCTTGAGCCCAAGGTCTTGAGCCAAACTAGCGTGAGCCAATTGGATCAAGCCAAAATGGATACGGACCCTCCTCCTCCCTGCCGCTCCTCCTCCTCCTCCTCCTCCTCCGAGTCCCCTTCATATCCCCCCTCCGGGGGCCCGAATTGCGCGGGGAACGAGGACTTCCAATACCCCGCTCCTCCGGTCCAGGACGGCCACCTCGACGGCGAGCAGATGACGACGGTAACGAGGAGGGCGACGACTGCGAGGAGGACGACGACGGCGACGGCGACTCAGACGGCGATGCGGACGACGACGGCACCGCCGCAGCGGAGGGCGGCGTCTCCGAAAGCTTGGCACGGGTCGTGCTGGGAGCGGGCGCGCCCCCGCGCCTATGAGTATCTGGCCGTAGATGTCCCTCCGCAGCTGCAGCTTCAGCTGGGCCATCAGGCGCTCCACCCCTGCGCCGCTCGAGCGCCGCCAGCCACTCGCGCAGCAGAGGTGGTCGTCGCCGCCGCCGTCCTCGTCGTCGGCAGTGGCGCACGACAGAGGCGACGACGTCGTCGCCGCAGCCGTCGCCGCAGCCGCCGCCGCCGCCGCATCGTCGTCGTCCTCGTCATCGCCGTCGTCGCCGTCCTCCTCCTCGTCATCGTCGTCGTCGTCTTCGCCGTCGTCGTCTTCGCCGTCGTCGTTGTCCCGTCGTCGCAGTCACCGTCGTCCTCGTCGTCGTCCTCTTGCTCGTCGCCATCGTAATCGTCCTCGTCGTCGGCGTCGTCGACCGCGACGAAGTCGCCGCGACCGTCGTCGTCGTCGTCGTCGTAGTCGTCGTCGTCGTCATCCTCGTCGTCGTCAGCGTCGTCGTCGACGCGCCGTCGTCGTCGCGCTGACTTCGTCGTCCTGGCCGTCGTCGTCGTCGGCGTCGTCGTCGTCGTCTTCGTCGTTGCCGTCGTGCTCCTCCTCCTCCTCGTCCTCCTCCTCGTCCTCCTGTTCGTCATCGTCGTCGTCATCGTCTTCGTCGTCGGAATCGGCGTCGGCGTCAGCGTCGTCGTCGCCACGGCCGTCCTAGTTGTCGCCGACGTCGACGTCGTCGTCGTCGTCCTCGTCCTCGTCGCCCTCGTCGTCGTCGGCGTCGGCGTCGTCGCCGCGGCCGTCGTTGTCGTCGTCGTTGCAGCGATCGTCGTCGTCGCCGTCGTCCTTGTCGTCGTCGTCCTCGTCGACCTCGGCCGCGTCGCCGTGGTAATCGTCCTCGATATGGGCATCGTCGTCGACCGCCGTCGTCGTCGATCCGTCGTCCTTTCTCGTCGTCATCGTCGTTGTCATCGTCCTCGTCGTCGTCGTCGTTGTCGTCGTCGGCGTCGTCAGCGTCGGCGTCGCCGGCGGCGTCGGCATCGGCATCATCGTCGTCGTCGTCGTCGGCGTCGGCGTCGCCGGCGGCGACGGCATCGGCATCATCGTCGTCGTCGTCGTCGACGCCGTCGCCGTGGTCATTGTCGTCTTCGTCGTCGTCGTCGTCGTGAGCATCGTTGTGAGCGTCGTCAGCGCCGTTGTCGTCGGCGTAGAGCGTAGACGACGACGCCGTCGTCGTCGTAGACGTCAGCGTCGTAGACGTCTGCGTCGGCGTCGGCGTCGGTGTCGGCGTGGCCGCGGCCGTCGTCGTCACCGACGTTGTCCTCGTCGCCGTTGTTCGCCGTCGTCATCGTCGCCGTAGTCGTGATCGTCGGCGTAGTCAGCGTCGGCATCGTTGTCGTCATCATCGTCGTCCTGGTCGTCGTCATCGTCGTCGTCGCCCTGATCGTCGTCGTCGTCGCTGTCGTCGTGCTCGTCGTCATCGTCGCTGTTGTGGTCGTCGTCGCCGCGGCCGTCGTCGTCGTCGTCGCCGTCCTCCTCATCATCATCGTCGTCGGCGTCGTCGTCGCCGTCGCCGTCGTCGTCGTCGCCGACGTCGTCGGAAGTCGCCGTCCTCTTCGTCATCGTCGTCGTCGCCGTCGTCCTCGTCGGAGTCCTTGTCGTCGCCATCGTCGTTCGTCCTCGTCGTCGTCCTCGTACTCGTCGCCGTCGTAATCGTCGTCGTCGTCGCCGTCGTCGCCGTCATCCTCGTCATCGTCGTCAACGTCGCCGTCGTCGTCGTCGATCTCGTCGTCGCTATCGTCGTCGTCCCCGTCGTTGTCCTCGTACTCGGCGCCGTCGTCGTCGTAGACGTCAGCGTCGTAGACGTCTGCGTCGGCGTCGGCGTCGGTGTCGGCGTGGCCGCGGCCGTCGTCGTCACCGACGTTGTCCTCGTCGCCGTTGTTCGCCGTCGTCATCGTCGCCGTAGTCGTGATCGTCGGCGTAGTCAGCGTCGGCATCGTTGTCGTCATCATCGTCGTCCTGGTCGTCGTCATCGTCGTCGTCGCCCTGATCGTCGTCGTCGTCGTTGTCGTCGTGCTCGTCGTCATCGTCGCTGTTGTGGTCGTCGTCGCCGCGGCCGTCGTCGTCGTCGTCGCCGTCCTCCTCATCATCATCGTCGTCGGCGTCGTCGTCGCCGTCGCCGTCGTCGTCGTCGCCGACGTCGTCGGAAGTCGCCGTCCTCTTCGTCATCGTCGTCGTCGCCGTCGTCCTCGTCGGAGTCCTTGTCGTCGCCATCGTCGTTCGTCCTCGTCGTCGTCCTCGTACTCGTCGCCGTCGTAATCGTCGTCGTCGTCGCCGTCGTCGCCGTCATCCTCGTCATCGTCGTCAACGTCGCCGTCGTCGTCGTCGATCTCGTCGTCGCTATCGTCGTCGTCCCCGTCGTTGTCCTCGTACTCGGCGCCGTCGTAATCGTCCTCGTCGTCGGCGGCGTCCTCGACCGCGACGTAGTCACTGCGACCGTCGTTGTCGTTGTAGTCGTTGTTGTCGTCGTCGTCGTCGTCCTTGTCCTCGTACTCGTCCTCTTTGTCGGCATCGGCGTCGGCGTCGGCGTCGGCGTCGTCGTCGTCGCCGAAGCGTCGTCGTCGTCACCGCCGCCGTCGCCGTCGACGTAGCCGTCGCCGTCGTCGTCGTTTTCGTATTCGTCTTCTTCGTCGTCGTCTTCGTCGTCGCCGTTCCCCCCGACACTCCGTGAGCCCGAGATCATCGGAAACTGTGGGGTGAGGTCGACACAAAATGCCGCCCCCATCCCAAAAGAAACCGGTTTCGGTCCGCGTCGTGCCTGCGAGGCAAGGCCGCGCGAGATTTCTTGGAAATTTCCACCCCCCCATCCCCACCACCAACAAATGGACGCCTGGTTCGCCCGGTGTTGTCACGCCGTTGTCCTTTGGCTGTCCCGTGATTGTCCCGCGGTTGTACGATCCCGTGTCTCTGTTGTCCCGTGAACGTTGCTACTTGAAAATCTGGGTACGGGCTTGAACCTCGCACCGCGTCGCGCAAGGAACCGAGGGGCTCGAACGAGCAACTGTGTCTCAACGCGACCTCATATTTGCATCTGGCTACACACGCGGACCTCAGAACCCGCGGCACATTATCTTCGCAACGGCGCAAGGAACCTAGCCCCCGTCGGGGCCCCACTCCTTAGATCATCCGCCCTTTACGGCGAATCGATTCCGCGCTCGTCATGACCCAAGGGAGGCCGGGGGGCCTCCATGGGAAAATTGCACGGGAACGCAAGCAGACCCCAGGCACCATGGCACCATCGAACCCCTTCCGAACCTGTCTGGACCTTACTGCAGCGCCATGACTATACGGAAGATTGGACATGACGACTGAAACTGACCGACGGCCTGAAAACGGCCAACGGCAAATTGAGAAACTGACCTTGACACAACCGCTTGTGTGTCAACCACGCGTGTGAAGATATACGAGGCGCTGTGCTTCATCATGATTCGGGCACGTGATTCGCGTCACCATTTGGTTAACAGATCACCTAGTGTGCTGGCTGTGCATCACGGCCCAGCCGCACCACGTCGGCATATCCTCGAGCCCCCCACCACCACGTGCGTTTTTTCCCACCCCGCATCATCAGATCCTAGATTGCTGAGTATACAGCTACGTTGAAGGGGACAGGGGAGGGACAAAGGAATACTCATAAAAAGACAGGCGGGTACATCCCCGATCTGCCGAAGGGCTGTGGTAACGAATATGGCGCCAATGGCTTCACGCGCCCATGGAAAGCGCCAGAATGCATTGCCACGCTCGGACTGCAGTGCCTTGGCCACGGTGCCCAAGCTCTCTTGGTCTGCGGCCCAACCCGCGCGGTCTGGACCCAGATGGCCCTGGGCCATATGCCACATCGGACCACCGTGCCCTACAGGGAGGTGCCTCCAGGAATCTTGGCCCACTGGTGGGGTCCAAATGCCTCAAAGCCACATCACCTCAAGTCCTCCTCCCTCCCCCCAATCTCCCCCCTCTCCTCATTCGTCTACTCCTCCCGCGGCCGCGGTCCTCTGCCATGCACGTCAAGTGCCCGCTGGGCGTAGGCCTGGAGCCGCTTCCTGTCCGACTGCCGCGTCGTCTCGGCCTAGCGCACGCCCCGGGTGACTATGCGGATGGGAAGAGACGGCGGGGGAGGGGGGGGCGGAGGCGGGGAGGAGGAATACGAGGAGCACGAATATGACGCAAACGAGAAGCCTCCAACAAAACTGAACGAGTCGCCGTGCTGCACCCTCCTCCGGTCCTGTAGGTGGCTGGTCTGGCGCGCCGAGGACGCGTCTCGGCTGACAGACGGAGTGAGGGCGCGTGGCGAGGCTCGGAGGGGCGCGTTGGGCGCCTTGCGCAGCACGTCTTGCAGAGAACCGGAAAAAGGAGGAAGGAAGAGGGAGGGGAGACAAGCGGAGGGGGCAACTACTCCGAGGGCCGAACGGCGTGTGAGGGGCGACGCTGCTGCACCCAGCCTCGGCGCCACAGGGGGCCACCTCGGGCCCTGGGCGCAGAGTCGGGACTGGAGCCACTGGGACTGGGGCGAGGGAGACGTCGCCGTTTCTGCGGCAGGACAGCAGCACCCTGAAGGATTGCACGTGCGCCCTGCCACGACTCGGGGGGCTGCCGCGCAAGAGAGGCCCTGGCGGAGGCGGAGGTGGAGGAGACTGCGCCGCGGGCCCTGAACTCCACCTCGGGCCCGATGGGGCAGAATGGGGCGGAACTGGGCCCACGCAGCTTCGCCCGTGCCGCCGTGTGGTCACCACGGAAAAATACTCTGGCCCTGCCCTTCGCCTCCGAGCCAGAGACGCGCAAGGCCGCACACAACATGGTGCTTACCTGGGGCAGGGCGCGGGGACCTCAGGCGAGGGTGCGGCGGAAAATTCCCCGTGCGGCTCGAGCCACCACGGCGGCTTGAGAGGACAGAAGAAGGGGGGGGGGAATCGAATCAAGTCGAGCTCCGAGTGTGTTGGACTCGTCTGACCGCCAACACGCCAGGGAATCTCCCGGCATGCTCGCCAGCTTCTATCATCAGAGCGACCTCCTTGGCAGCCATCGGGACCGATCAGGGAGCTCGTGGGGCCGCTGTGCGGGCACGACACGATTACTGCACTGACGGTCAGTGGCACCCCGGTTTGCCGACTGCGCAGAGGGCCCTCCCCGGAGGTGGAGGATCATCCTGCAGTGGGCACGGCATCAGGCTTACAACCAGAAGATCTACAGCTAAAGGGTGGGACAACTCGAAGATCTACAACTAAGGGTATGCCAGAGAGGCAATGACGCGAGAGTCGCCTTGGAGCAGCACTCCACCCGTACGATGCACGCTGACAGTACGCACGCAGGCCTTTTCGGATGAATCGCCAGATGGAAAAGAGTAAGATAAAACGAGGGAGGAAGAAGCAGGATCGAGGGAAGGCGGTCCCTCCTGGTCCCAATCGGCGGCGTCAACGCGCCGTTCCCAGGCCACCACGTCGCCCTCGGTTGTGCCGAAGCCGCCCGGGGAGCAACATCGCACCACCAGCCTGGCCGCCGTCACGGGTACCCCATCTTTCTCCGCCTCCTTCTCCTCCTGCCCCTCTTTCCCCTCCTCCTCCTCCTCCTCCTCCTCCTCCTCCTCCTCCTCCGCCTCCGCCTCCGCCTCCGCCTCCGCTTCCGCCTCCTCCGCCTCCTCCTACTCCTCCTCCTCCTCCTCCTCCTGATCCTGATCCTGATCCTCATCCTCTCCTACACAGTATTACCAGATTCATCTTCATCATTGTCACCGAGTCCTCATCATGACCCCCTTATCGTCCTCTTCGCCATCGTCATCACCTGATCGCCATTCTCGCCGCAGTCGTCGTGGCTGGCGTCATATGCGCTCTATCACCGTCGTCCTCTCCGGTTCCATGAGCACCAGCGTCATCAGCAGCAACACCACTGCAATCGTCATCAATTTCGTTGCCCGCATCCTTATCCTGTATCCCTCCTTTTCATCACTTGTCATCCTCTTCATCATGTTCCCCTTAATTATCCTCCTCCTCCTCATCATCATCAGCATCACTATCATCATCACCATCATCATCATCAGCATCATCAGCATCATCATCATCATCATCATCATCATCATCATCATCATCATCATCATCATCATCATCATCATCATCATCATCATATTCAACATCATCAGCATCACCATCATCATCACCATCACCACCAGCATCATCACCATCATCATCATCACCATCATAATCATCATCATAATCAGCATCATCATCGTCATCATCACCATCATCATCATCATCATCATCTTCAGCATCAGCATCAACATCATCATCAGCATCATCACCATCCGAGTCATCACTTCACGCGCCCACCTCATGAAGGATCAAGCCGTGGCAACGGATATCCAACACAATGTAATTCCAGGGGTGCACAGAGCGAAGACAAGCCTCGCGTTGGGCACTGTGACGCTGACCGCAGGTGTTTCCACCAACTCCCCATGATGTTTCCCGACCCTCCGTCCTCATCATCCCACGTTACTCGTACTATTACTCTTCCTGGATCTTCATGATTCGAGTGATCTCGAATCATCAGGCTTCAGGCCCGTCCCGAACAATCCGTCCGCCTCCGTCGCCATTCCCCCTCATCCGCCTCGGGCGCCCCGCCCCCCGCACCCCCTTCAGGATCGTCGAACGGTTGTCTCCTCACTGGGCACTTTCCTTGGCGCAAATGAGCCCTTGTAGGGGCCTGCGAAGAGGAAGCTTGGAGGGAGGGTTTAATCCAACATCGCCGACGAGTCTTGGGTGTGCACTGGTCCTCCTCCTCCTCCTCCTCCTCCTCCTCCTCCTCCTCCTCCTCCTCCTCCTCCTCCTCCTCCTCCTCCTCCTCCTCTCTCTCTCTCTCTCTCTCTCTCTCCTGCCAGCAGATCCGCGGCCCCAGTACCAGACCCGTGCTCGGCATCGTGTCGAGCCCTTTCCCGGCGTGCTGGCCGAGAGCCCAGGCCCGCCACGCAAGGGGGACGCACCCATCAAGACGGCCTCCTCCCGCCTCCGCCTTCCTCCGCCCCCTGCACCCCCTCGCCCCCCCCCCTCTTGCAGCGGCGAGCGAAGGGGGAAAGTGAAAAGGAGAAGGCCTGCTCAGAAGGCGGCGGGACTTCCCAGAAGCCTGCGCGCCTTCGGAGAAGCTCTCTGCGTCTTCGGGGAAGGCTTTGAAAACTCCTCAGAAGGCGGCCTTCTGAGCCTGCCTTCTCCTTGTCGCTTCCCCCTCGGGCGCGCCGCCGAGCCTTGTCCCCCCCCCCCCTCTTGGGGAAGCCGGAGGGTCCGCCACCGTGCCGCCAGGCACGGAGATTGGGCGTATCCTCAGGTCCTGTGCCCGGTCCCCTGGGCCTCAGGTCTTCAGATGTGAAGAGTCAAATCAGGAGCCCGGGCCCGAACTTCCGACATCGCTTGGGGCTTGCTGCGTGCCCCCTGGGCTCCCCCGCATCCCGTCGCGTGGTTTTTCCGGGCCCAAGAGGGCCCCAAGATGGGCCAAAAGAGCCTCGAGAGGCGGTCCAAGAGGGCCCCGAGTCGCCGAAAGATCGTTCCAAGACGCGCAAGATGGCACAAAGACGGCCCAAGAGGCCTCCAAGACGCCCCAAAAAGCAAAATCAATCGATTGTACGTCGGTTTTCGGACGTTTGGGCGTTGTCGCCTTTTCGGCTTCCCGACGCTCATAGACGGCCAACGAGGCCTCCCAAACCGCCTCAAGATGGCCTCAAGGGCCGCCAAAACGCCCCCAAGACGGAACCAAAACGGCCTTGTCGGGACCCAAGACGGCCCGAAGAGGGCCCATCATAGGAGAGGCACGAACCGCCTTCCGCCCCGAGACTGCACCAGAAGGCCCAAGGAGGCCCAACGAGCCCCCACGAGGCCCCCTAAGAGGCCCCAAAGAAGCCCCAAGAGGCCCCCAAGAGACCCGAAAGAGGCACCGACACTGGCCCCAGCGAGGCCTCTTAACTGCCCCCAAGAAGTTCTCGAGAGGCCCCCCACGAGATCACAACGAACACCCAATGAAGCCCACAACCCAGGCACAGTGGCGGGATGGGCCGACTGCCATTGGATCCGCCGCCCCCTGTCGATTCATCGCAGGGGTGCCTGGCGTGCTTGACCCTTTCGGTTTTGGTTTTGGTTCTTTTCCAAAAAGAACTCTCCCAGTGGGTTTCGGCCCGTCACGCCACCGCGCCGCTCGCTCGGGACATCCTCAAAAAATCGCGAAGATGGCCCAATTCGTTCGGGACATCCTCAAAAAGCTCTTCCAGGACCGCAAAGTCCACGAAAAATCCTCCCTGAAACGGCCGCTTCGCTCGGGACATCCTCAAACAATCGCGAAGATGGCCCGAGATGGCCTCCAAGTCCGCCCACAAGACGGCTTCCAAGACGGCCCAAGAGAGCCCAAGACGGCCCAAGACGGTCCAACAGGCCCCCCAGAGGCCTCCCAGACGGCCCAGGAGGCCTCCAGAAGGTCCCCCAGGAGGGCCCGAAGAGGCCAACATCATTGATTTTCCTTGGGTGTTTGAAGGATTTGGGAATTTGCTTCTTCTCGGCATTCCGACGGCTCAAGACGGCCCAAGAGGCCCCCAAGATCGCCCAAGAGGCCCCCAAAAGAGCCCCATGACGGCCCAAGTGGCCTCCAAGACGCCCCCCAAAGAGCCCCAAGACGGCCCAAGAGACCTCCAAGACGCCCACCAGATGGCCTCCAGGCGGCCCAAGAGGCCTCCAAGACGCCGAATATGGCCTCAAAGACACGCCCACGTGTTCCCCGAAGGCTTTCCAAACCGACTCGGGGAACACATGGCCCGATAGCTTGGCAGGTCTGGCCTCGACGTTCGGCCACATAGGCGCTTCCACAAAGGCAAGGGGCGGCGGTGATTCGCCGCAGGCGTCTTCGATCCGCCGCCGCCTGTCGATTCATCGCAGGGGAGCCTGGCGTGATTGACCCTTTCGGTTTGGGTTTTGTTTTTTTCCCGAAGAACTCCCCTGGCGTTTCGGTTCGTCCCGCCGGGGTCCCGGGAGGATTGCCCAGGACCCCAACGTCCCGAAAAAATCATCCAAGACGGCTCAAGATGGCGTCCAAGATGGCCAATATGGCCTCCAAAATGGCCACGTTGGCCCAAGATGGCCTCCAAGATGGTCCAAGATGGCCTCCAAGTCCGCCCAAGATGGTCCAAGACGGCCTCCAAGACGGCCCAAGAGTCCAAGACGGCCCCCCAGAGGCCTCCAAGACGGCTCAAGAGGCCTCCAAGAGGTCCTCCAGGAGGGCCCGAAAAGCCAACCTCCTGTATTTTCCTCCGTTTTTTTTTGAAAGATTTGACGATTTGTTTCTTCTCGGCTTTCCGACGGCTCAAGACCGCCCAAGACTCTAAAGCGAGCTGAGGGGGTTAAGGAGTGGAAGCGAGCGTGCGCCCGCGGCCGCGTCGGCTCAAGCGGCCGGCCGCCCAAACATGACTGCGCCTCACTGCGAGGCACACAATCGTTATCGAGACCAAAAAGATCTTCCTACTGCTTGAAATGGCACATCCTCTTATACTGGGACTATCGCTACTACGGTACAACTGAGCGGGAGCTTGGCTTCGCCTGAGGCGATGCTGCTGGCTGGGCTTCCCTGCCCCCTTCAAACTTGGTAGCGGAGCTGGCCTATGGTGGTCAGCTCTTGCTCTACTCCTCACCATCCACGGCACTATCTGATGGACTACAGATATGGTGGAACATCAGGGTGCAGTGGGTTTGCGCGGAGGAATGTACATAACTACGCAGTACCGCATAGAAACTTGCAGCGATACCTCTGTCCAAGCGAAGGTCTCTTACATACATCTTACATCCCTGCGCTACTACACTCCTGAAGTCCACCCACCTACACTCCAATTGGAAAGTTCTTCGAGGATATAATGCATGGAATCATACGATACGACATATTGCCGCCTCCGACCCCGCGCAAACTTACGACTAAACAACAGAAGCCCCAACCGACTACATCCGCCTACGACCTACGAGGCCAATGGGTTGGTGTTACTACCTTTGGGCTCACATGGGTCGCTATTGGGTGCGCGGTAGGACATATGCGTGGCGGAAAAGACACAAGAACGACCGGCCCCCATTGGGACCCTGCCGGTCAAGTACCCTTTCGCGAATTCGTCCGCGAAGTACATGCCTGGATCAATGTGACCACAGGCAACATGACGCCCTCCCAGCAGGCTGCATCTTTGCAGCGAGGTTTGGGAGGTCTCGCACGGATCATAGCCATGAGAGTCCCCCCAGCAGTTATTAATTTCGGCGTCAACACAGGTGGTCGCCACACCAACGGCGTCAACTACATCATGTTCCTCTTAAGCATGAAGTTCGAGAACCTAGAAGAGGAGCGCCAATTCAACTCTGGTACAGTTCTTATTGACTTTCGAGTCCATGCGGGTGAACGTCTCGACCAAACGTTAGCACGGTTTGAGATAGCCCGCTACGAAGCTGAAACAGCCGGCTTCAACATCCCCAACTTCCAAATCCTAGCAGCGATTCTATTCAGAGTCCTTGGAGAGGGGACATCGCGTGCACAACAACTCCCGCATCCTCTGAACCACCATATGCCGAGAGACCAACAACAATTTGACGCTCTACTTGAACGCGTGAGGTCATATGCTCACATTGCTGAAAGAACCCCCGGCAATATTGGTGGTATCTTTAGTCACGGTCACCGAACCGAGATCTTCCACGTGGAGGCCAACGCAGCGCAACCTGCCAACAACGTCTGGAATGATGATCCCACAGTCAACTGAGACCACTACACTGCTGGCTCAAAATGGTGGAACGGCCTCGGGGTCGCAAGACTCCTGGGCCAGACCTAGGGGACCGCTCGACGCGGTCTCCCCCATACAAGCCATGACCCTAATGGGCTCAGCGGGGCAACCCGCCGAGTCCGACTTCGACTCCGGGCACCGATGCGGATACATCTTCCAGATGACGAAGCTACCGCCCTGGAGTATTCTGATATGCCTACATACCTTACTGAAGAGCAACAAGCTCAATTGTTATGTAGGCTATCAAAAACACAAGCGTCGCCAAAGACGGCCCCAAGAGGGCCCCAAGACGGCCCACGAGGCCTCCAACACGCCCAAGATGGCCTCCAAGACGCTCAACATGGCCCCGAAGCGCCCCAAGAGGGCCCCAAGTCGGCCCAGAAAGGCCCCCAAGACGGCTCAGACGGCGTCAAACGTGCCAGGAACCCACCAAGATGGCCGAAGTTGGCTCGAAGCTGGCCCAACGGCCCAAGAGGCTCCAAGAGGGCTTCCAGGAAGGCCAGAAGAGGCCAAAAACCTTGATTTCCCTAGGGATTTTGAAGGATGTTGACATTTGCTTCGTTTCGGCCTTCCGATGGCCCGAGACGGCCCTAGAGCTCCCAAAGATCGCCGAAAGATCGCACAAGAGGCCTCCAAGATTGCCCCCCAGAACGGCCCAAGAGGGCCCCAAGACGGCCCTAAGACGGCCCCAAGAGGCCCCCAAGGCGGCACAAGGCCTTTAAGACGCCCAAGATGGCCTCCAAGACGGCCCTGGAGCATTCTAAGAGAGGCCCCCCAAACGGCTTCCGACGGCGTCAGACGGACCAGGAGCCCACCAAGACGGCCGAACAGGGCCCTAAGATGGCCCAAGACAGCCCAAGAGGCCTCCAAGAGGGGCCCCAGGAAGGCCCGGAAAGGCAACATCCTTGATTTCCCATGGGTTTTGGAAGGATTGTGGCATTTGTTTTTTTCTGCCTTGCGACGGCCCGAGACGGCCCAAGTGCCCCCAAAGATCGCCCAAGAGGCCCAAGACACGGCCCCACGAGGCCCCCAAGACGGCCCAAGAGGTCTCCAAGACGTCCTCCAAGAAGGCCCGAAAGGGTCAAAATGGCCTCCAGACGGCCAAGATGACATTCAACATGCCCACGTGTTCCCCGCAGGCTTTCCAAAACGATTCGGGGAACACATGGTCCGATAGCTTGGCAGGTCTGGCCTCAACGTTCGGCCACATAGGCGTTTCCAAAAAGGCAGGGGGCGGCGGTGATTCGCCGTAGGCCGTAGGCGTCTTCGGTACCGATGCCGCTGCTCCCTGGACCTTTCCCGGGGCGCGTCCTGATTCAAATTGCGAGGCGAATCTAGCGGTGGTGACCAGGCCCCACAGGAGGCCCAAACAAGGGAAACCGCATGGGCGCCTGTTCCTCCCCCCCTTTCTGACGGCGGCGCACTTCTTCCCCAGCTCGAAAGCGACCAGCGCCTCGAAAAGCACCCAGGCCCTCTGCAGGGCGAGACCCTCTCCGTCGAGGACCAGCAACACCTGATCGCCCACCCACCCCTGCCGAGCGCCCCCGCCGCGCGGGAGCGGGGGGGATTCCTTCCGCACCTTCTACTACAGTTCCTGCTGTTGTCGCTAATGCCGCTGTTGTTGTTCGCCTGCGTCCTCCTCCTTCCTCATCCTCCTCCTTGGCTATAGGACCATAGGGCTATATGGCCATCGGGCTATAGGGCTGTAAGCATATATAGAGCTTTAGGACCATAGGGCTATAGGGCTATCTGGTTTTAGGGCTATAGGGTGTGGGGCTACAAGTATATACGGCTGTAGGGCTATGGGGCTATATGGCAATTGGGCTATAGGGTTACAGGGCTATATGCCTGTAGGTATATAGGGTTATATGACCATAGGGCTATAGGGCTGTAGGGCTATAGGGCTGTAGGGCTAAAGAGCTAGAGGACTATATGGCGATTCGGCTATAGGGCTATAGGGCTAGAATACTATAGGACTATGGGGCTATAGTGCTATAGGCCTATGAGGCTATAGGGCCAGAAGGCTACACGGCTATAAGACTATTGGGCTCTGGGGTTATAGGGCTGTAGAGGTGTAGGGCTATAGGGCTATAGGCTGGAGGGGCATCTTTCCTAAACCAAGCGGGTCTTCCCAAACCAAACTTTGGCTTGGGTGACCCAGGTCTTGGTTTGGGAACACCCGGTTGGTTTGGGAAGGTCGGGCGGGCAGACCCTAACGGGCGGGTCGGGTCGGGCTGGGCGGGCGAGCCCAAACGAGCGGGTCGGGCCGGGCGGGCGGGGCATTCATATGCGGTTCATGATCGAATTGACACGCGAGTAATGTCTTAAAGCTGTTTAACAAAAAGTATTTTGGGGAGACAATTAAAACATGATTTTCCCCAGCGCTGTTGTGCGTATAGATAACAAAAGGGGGGCGGGCCAAACTGGATCGCTGGAGACGCCCCCGCGACTGCCCTGGCGCCCTGCGTGCAGGGGCAGATTCCAACGCACCCCCTCTTGGCGTCAGGCCACGCCTGCCACGCCCTGCGACACTAGCGTGGATAGAGACTGCGCTCAGGGACCACTCCCTGCGCACCGGGCACCCCGTCTGGGTTGCGAAGCGGCACTGAATGTGCAAATGCGGCACGCCGCTGATAGATTTGACCCGACAGGGGTGATGTTGCACTCCAAAACCCAATGGCGAAAACCCAATGTAAAAATTCATTCTCTGATCGGAAAACGGGAACAACCCAATGTGGATATACGCCACTGAATGCAAACATGCCACGCGCCAGCGCGCGCGCGCGGCGGCGGCATGCCGCTGATAGACTTTACACAACGGGACGAAATTTCGCGCGCGCGGCGGCAGCATGCCGCTGCTAGATTTTATACCACGGGGGCGAACTTTGATCTCCAAATCCCAATGGCGAAAACCCAATGTAAAAAATCATTCTCTGATCGGAAGACGGGGACATCCCCGTGTGGATATGCGGCACTGAATGCAAAAAGGCCAACCGGCAACGAGCGCGCTCGCGGCGGCGACATGCCGCTAATAGACTTGATACAGCGGGAACGATGTTGCACTCTAAAACCCAATGGCGGAAAACCAATGTAAAAAATCATTCTCTGATCGGAAAACGGGCACATCCCCATGTGGATTTACGACACTGAATGCACAAATGCCAATCGCCAGCGCGCGCGCGGCGGCGTGCCGCTGATCGATTTGATATAACGGGAGCGAGGTTGAACTCCAAAATCCAATGGCGAAAACCAAATGTCGAAAGTCATTATCTGAGAGGAAGACGGGAACTCTCCATGTGAGTTTACGGCACTGAATGCACAAATGCCAATCGCCAACGCGCGCGCGCGCGCGCGCGGCGGAGGCATGCCGCTGATAGATTTTATACCACGGGAGCGATGCTGGTTTCCAAAACCCAATGGCGAAAACCCAATGTAAAAATTCATTCTCGCGGCACCGATCGGCATCCATGAATTTTCCCACGGGGGACATATGCAAAAATAGCTATTCGGACGCGAATTAATGGCAGTCGGGATCTGGGGGGGGAGGGGGGGGTCATCATTTTTGAATACGGTTTTGGCCATTACCCTAAAGGCGGGTCGGGTCGGGTCGGGTCGGGCGGACCCTAACGGGCTGGTCGGGTCGGGTCGGGCGGGCGGACCCTAGCGAGCGGTGGGGTCGGGCAGGCAGGGTAGGCCTAAGGGGTAGACCCAGGCCTAGGGGTAGGCCTAAGGGGTAGGCCTAGGGGTAGGCCTAGGGTAGGCCTAGGGGGAAGGCCAAGGGGTAGGCCTAGGGTAGGCCTAGGGTAAACCTAGGGGGTAAGCCTAGGGGTTGGCTTAGGGTAGGCCTCCCTCCGGGTTCTATAAGGATTTGAAACCACCCTTAATTGTAGAAGACCTAGGATACTAGTTTGAGGAGACCCGTTTGGATTGGGAAGACCCGGGGAATTGGTTCGGGAAGACCCGGGGGTTGGTTTGGGAAGACCGTGTTGGTTTGGGAAGACCCGGCACGTTGGTTTGGGAAGACCCCGTTGATTTGGGAAGACCGGGGGGCGTTGGTTTGGGAAGACGCATTTGGTTTGGGAAGACCCAGGTTTGGTTTGGGAAGACCTGGCGGTCTGATTCCGCAACATTTGGTTTGGGAAGACCCGTTTGGTGTGGGAAAACCCTGTTACCGGGCTATAGGGCTATAGGGCTATAGGCCTATAGGGCTTTAGGGCTATAGGGCTATAGGGCTATTGGTCTGTAGGGCTATAAGGCACCCGGGCACCTGGGCGGGCCGCGGAAATCGGTGACACACCTCACCTAACCATATGAATCCGATAGGACCCCTACAGAGACAAGCTCTGATTGGGGAAATTGCAAGAGTTTCACAGGTTCTCATCGCCAGCTTCCTAGAAAGCGTTTTGGCACGATGCTGGAGTGTCAGGGCGCAACATTCATGTTGATTCGCGGCGTTGAAGGCCCAGGAATGTTCTGGCACGATTCAGGATCGTCAATACGCAACAGCAGCGGTGATTCGGGGCGCCGAAGTACCAGGGATGGCTTTCTGGCACAATTAGAAGCTTCTGACGGTTGTCTTCCAACGGGGCATGTCCCTCCGTGAAAATGAGCCGTGGGAGCCTATGACGAGGAAACTTCGAGGGAGGGTTTATTGCAATATCGTAGATGGGTCTTGGGTTTGGACTGGTCCTCCTCCTCCTCCTCCTCCTCCTTCTCCTCCTCCATTCTCAAAAAAAATAACTCCCCCATGCCGTACCCCGGGCCAGTCGGAAGGGCGGGCCGGGCGTTTCGCCTGATCTGTCCTCCCCATGTATGATCCTGAAGCTTTACAATTGGCAACAGCTTCAAACATAGAGGGCGGGCGGTTTTCAAAATGTCGCTCTCGCCTTAACGCCGCGAAAACTCGTCTTAACAATTCGCAAGAGCTTCACGGATTGAGGGCGGGTCGTTTTCCAAATGTGGCTCTCGCCGTCGCGCCGCGCACATTCGCATTTAAAATTTGAAAGAGTTTCGCGGATGGAGAGCGGGCCGCTTTCAAAATGCGGTTCTCGTTTTAGCGCCGCGCGCATTCGTCTGTAACATGTGCAAGAGTTTCACGGATTGGGAGCGGTTCTTTTCAAAATGTGGCGATCGCCTTACCGCCGCGCACACTCGTCTTAGACCAAATGCAAGACGTTCACGGCTCCGTTGGTTAAAGTTCCAGAAACGGCTTGCTGGAACGATTCAGGATTGCAAGGGATTTGTGGCGTTGCAGTCGAATGAATGGTGTCCCGGCACGTTTCAGGACCGCCAAGACGTAACAATCAGGTAGATTCGTGGCGTTGGAGTCCCGAGAACGGTGTTTTGGCACGCGTCAGGATCGTCAAACGTTGTCTCCAAACGGGACACTTCCCTGAATTGAATTAAGCCGTTGAAGGGGCCCATGAAGAAGGAGCTTGGAGGGAGAGTTCATTCCAACATCATTGATGTTTCTGGGGTTTACGCTGGTCCTCCTCCTCGTCCCAGACATCCGACGTCGCGGTGTTGTTCGTTGCGTGGGCCCCCAGACCTCTGAACCCCGTCCTGGGACTGGCTTGTCGCCCTGGACCGCTTGTTGAGAATCCTGGGGCCCGAAACAAACCAACAAGTGCACACCAAAACATGAAAGCCTGGCCAACCCTTGAGTGACGACGGATGTGCCTCAACCATCCTCTGTTGTGTCCTCGTTTTCCGCTGCGACGCGCGTCTGATCCTTCTCTGTCCCGGCTCCCGGTTCATCTCCCTTTTCCCAGTGCTGCTGCTGCTGCGTCGTCCACTTCGAATGCGAACCTCTACCATTTCGGAGCACACCTCACACGGATCGCGCCCCCTAGGGAGCTCCGCCTACGGCACCAGTAACGGTGTAAGCATGCGCACGCCACTCACAGAGATCGTACCCCATATAGAGTTTCATCTACGGCACCAGTGAGAGCGCCCGCATGCGGCCCCCGCAACCATTTCGGCGTAACCTTCACACGAATTGTGCCTGGGAGCGACACCGTGCGGGCGACCAATTGTGGTCGCCACGCCAATTTCGGCACAACATGCCCACGGATCGCGCCCCATAGTGAGCTACACCTACGGCCCCAGCGAGGGCATGGCGAAATGCGGTCCCCGTTACTAGTTTGGCAATGCCTCGCACGGATCGTGCCTTACAGGAAGCCCCACATACAGCACCAAAGATGCGTTCGTATGCGGCCCCTCCCCCATCTCGGCACACCCATCGCACGGAGAGTAGCCCATATGGAGCCCCACTCACGTCCTGTAGGCGTGTTCGCGTGGGGTGCGGACGTCCGCAGACGGCCCGCTCGCTCATCTCAGCGCTTCAGTCACACGAGTCGTGTCCCGTAGGCAGGCCCACCTACATCACAAGTGGGTGCGCTCATGCACCAGGAAGCTGGAGGAAAAAAAACACAAGCGGCTGGATTCACACGTGGAACCTCTGGAGGCCACACGTTGGACACACACGCGAAAGCCCTGCGCGCCAGGACACAGAAAGGCCGAGCGCTGGAGCGACAAGCAGCCACATGTGCATCCAGCTCTCGCCCAGGCCGGCCGCGGCCATGTGTATCCAATACACAATTAATCGTCGATTCCCATGAAAATGTTGGAAAATATGGGCAGTGGGGGGGAAGACAAAAACCCAGAAAACATAGGAAAATATGGGGAATCTGTTTATGCTTCCTAGTGCAATGCCCGCCTCGATTTGGCACACCCCTCGCACGGGTCGCACCCCACGGGGGACCCCCCTCCGCCGCTCCCTCCCGCTTCACGCAGAATGTAAGAAGACGGCCGCCCTTGCAGTACACGCAGTGACGTGGGGTTGGGCCCTTCGCCTGGCCATCTATGGCAGGAACTCCGAAAGCTTCAAACATAACAAAACGTTAAATAACCGCTGTCCCCAAAACTCGACCTCCTCTGTCATGTCGCCGTGAAGGCCTCGGGGAGCTCCAAAAGGAGCCATGATGCCCCTGGAGAAGCCGAGCAACAAAGACCAGGCGGGCCTAGCTGGCGTCAGGGAGCTCCAGGAAACTCCGGGAGCCCCGAGGGATGCGAGAAGGCCCACACAGCTCAAGGAGCATGGAAAAGGAAAGGGGAGGGAGAAGGGAAGAGGGGGGGAAAGGGAAGACGAAGGAGCAGGAGGGAGAGGGAAGGAGGAGGGAGAGAGGAGGAGGGCCCATGGAAGCCGCCAGGATGGCTGTCGGCACCGGAATTTTCCCCCCTCCCCCCCCCCCCCCTTCCCCCCCCACCTCCTGGCAGCCCCTCACGTGGCTGCGGACCAGGGCGATCGGGTCCTCTGTCGGCGCGTGCAGGTCGGCGGAGAACAGGTCCAGCCCGTACCTGGGCGCGAGCGGGGATTGCGAAAGCGATCTTCCATTACATTTCGTGGACAAAACTGCCGATCGATGAACTACCCCAGCCAACCTATTTGGCCACCCCGAACCAAACCTCCAGCCAACCATGCCCAACCCACGCCAACCCTCCCGACCATCCCCTCCGCCAACTTTGGTTGCTGCAGTTTGAAGGAGTTTCTGCGGAACCCACGTCATCCTGACACTCGGCGCTCGAGAAAAACGCCTCCCAGCGCACCCCCAGGACCTATTTCCGGCGCTACGCCAGGCGCGTCCTCATCTGGCGATCTCGCTGGAAACATCCTCGCATCATCGCCCCCAGGGCCCCCATCGCACGCCTAGGGCCTACGGACCATTTCCGGCGCTGCGCCAGGCGCGTCCCCATCCTGCGCTCTCGCTCGAAACATCCTCGCAACGTCGCCTCACCGGCCCCCAGCGCACCCCCAGGAACCAGTTCCGGCGCTGCGCCAGGCGGGCCCCCATCCAACGCTCTCGCTCAAGAAATCGTCGCATCATCGCACACACGGGCCCCCAACGCACGCCTAGGGACCATTTCTGGCGCCGCGCCAGGTGCGTGTCCATCCAGCATTCGCTCGAGACATCCTCGCAACATCGCCCCACGGGACCCCAGCGCACCCCCAGGAACCATTACCAGCGCTCCACTGGGCGCGTCCCCACCCTGCGCTCTTGCTCGAGACATCCTCGCAACATCGCCCCACGGGTCCGCAGCGCACCCTCGCCATGAGCATCCATCTTTGCCTATCAGTGCGCAGGCTGAATTGGCACTCGGCCTTTAATTTAGAGTCGGACGCTAAATTTAGCGACGATCGCCCTTGACAATGTAATCACTACTTACTGTCTCTTAGTGACGACGACGGCGCGATGCTGTTCTCCTGCAATGAGATCACTTTTCTTCGCGCGCGGAGGGGGCCGCGACTCCTGCACCGTGCCATGCGCAGCATGGGGAGATGTTCTTTCCTTTGGGACGAACGCGTTTTGTTGAAAACGGCGGAGGCGCCGCCTCTTTGGAGGGAACGCGCCCGAGGAAAACAGGAGGAAAGTTGCGCCTCCTCGGGGTGGGGATTGATGGAGGGAGGAGGCTGCGCCTCCTGCGCGGGGAGGGAAGGGGGAGGGAGACGACGAGGGGTCGTGAAATCTGGGCATATATCCTGGCCCAAAAACGCTGATATCCACCCCCCAGTCGTCACCCCCCCTTAGCCCTCACTCCCGAGTCATCCCCCACCCCCTCCGAGTCATCACCGCCCTTCGTAGTCATCACCCACCCCTAGCACCCCCCCACCATGATATCCACCCCCCTAGTCACCACCCTCCGCCTGGCCGCCCCCGCAAGCCACTGGAGGCCTCCTGGAGGCCCTCTGAGCTCTCGATGATGCACGGCTTGCGGGGAGGCAGCTCGTCACGGGGGTGCGCCGATCGGAGGCAGCTCGTCACGGGGAGGCAGCTCGTCACGGAGGCTCCAGCACAACAAGGTCCTCCTCCTCTTCCTCCTCCTCCTGCTGGGTCAAGCAGGTGGT